CGTTGCTTCTTAAAATTCCCTATCAAACCTTCTGCGAGATTGTCTCTCCGCCTTGGACAGATCCTGTCCATTGTAAATAGATGCCATATATCATTGTACTTTATTAATGGGGTAGTCACAGTACATGCATTGTTAACATTAGTTGCTCCAAAATTCATTTGGAAAATAAGTGAGCTATGAGTATGTGATCATCTCTATAAGTATGTGATCATCATGGTTTATATACTCATTCTTTCAAGATGTGTATTGGCATACTCTGTGAAAAGCATGCGCTCTCAGGTTAACATACTTCCGCTGGGACTTACTGGCAGCTTCCTGGACCTTTTTCTTCCATTTCCAGCCCATGTTTCATTTTCTGATACTCTCTTGACCCAGCCCTTTCCACTTAAGTTCATTATGGCCCAACACACAATGACTGAATTGTACTTGGTCCCCAGCATTGTTTTGGATGCTAGAGACACTAGGTAAGGACTTCCAGCTCTGCCCTAGCCAGTTCCTGCCTCCACTCCCTTCTTCTTTTCTCCTTCCATCTTTTCCATCTTTCTGTTTCCCCTGCTGAGCTGAATTTGGCCATCAGAGTTCTGCACAGGCTGAGCTGGACCTACCTGAACAGCACACTGGATTGCTGCTGAATTTTATTTCCTCTTGGCTCCAGGAATAATCTGCCATGTTGGGCCAAGCCCTGAGCTACATATTTCTCACGTGATGTTAATTGTTTAAATTTACATCTGCTTGGGGGCTTCCCTGGTGGCGCAGTGGTTAAGAATCCGCCTGCCAATGCAGGGGACACGGGTTCGAGCCCTGGTCCGGGAAGATCCCACATGCCGCGGAGCAACTAAGCCCGTGTGCCACAACTACTGAGCCTGCGCTTTAGAGCCCGCAAGCCACAACTACTGAGCCCTTGCGCCGCAACTACTGAAGCCCGTGAGCCCTAGAGCCTGTGCTCTGCAACAAGAGAAGCCATCGCATTGAGAAGCCCGCTCACTGCAACAAAGAGTAGCCCCCGCTCGCCGCAACTAGAGAAAGCCCGCGCGCAGCAACGAAGACCCAGCACAGCCAAAAATAAATAAATTAATTAATTAATTAAAAAAAAATTTACATCTGCTGTGGTGGTAAGCGTTCTGCTTTGGAGGGAAGAGTTTATTGTCACTACTATTCTTACCATAGCTACTACAGATAGCCTCCATTTACTGCATGACAGGCCTTTTACACACATTTAGTATTGCTTTTTATTCCAATAATATTATTGCTTATAAAGAGAAAATGTTTTCTCCAAGGGAGCAAATTAGCAGCTATCCATCCCACCAGGTCTAGTAGCATTTGGTGGAATTTAGTTTTGTTTGCTGTGGTACTAACTAGTGGTGTATCTGGGGGAAGTTGTTCATCGGACAGTTGTAAACTAGGTAAAATTATGAACACTTCAATCCTGTTGCCTCGAGAATGTGTGGTTCATTCTGAGGAAGTGGTCCTATTTCCTTAGGCTCGAAATTTGAGTGAAATTTACAGCTATCAGTTCCTTGAAAATATTTTGGCATACAAAATAGAGTCCATCCTTACTTCGCCTTTCCCTAAAGTAGTTAACAACATCGTATACGTGTGGAGGGCATCCTACTAAAATATGAATTTTTTAATAAATAAAAACGCAAGTATTACCAGGGGAAGTTACTGGCCAATTTTTAAACTCGATCTTTGTATTCTGGTTACTTTTACCATTGGCTTCTGTCTTCCTTTCCTGCAGCGATCAGTTAAAAACGGCAAATCGTTACAGTAGTGTAGCTATTTGACCACATATCTTGCTGTTAGTTTCTCTTCAGTATGAGTATTTGAATTCTTTTTTCCCAGTCAATCCAAAGACACCCTAATTTGTGCACGATGCATATATATTTTGATATTAATTAAAGCTCAGGAAGCATAGCTCCCAAATAAAATATATTTATATGAAATATGAATATGCAGGGTTCAATGTAGTGTATGTAGTCTGTGATCCATTTGCTATGTCGAATAGGTGATTAGGGTAGGGGCTGGGAGGGCATCAGAAAAAATAGGAAGCCTATAGATCACATTAGGCAAAGCAAGTTGTCTGGGGGAAGCCAGCAGTGTTCCTCTTGTCAGTAAATGGCCTTTGATGGCCTTCCCATGATGTGCCAGGAAATCTCAGGTCAGTGGAGGACATCTCAGTTTTTCTCTCCTCTCCCAGACAATCGTGTAAAATTAGGCCGTTTAGGGTTTAGACGGTAGGAAATACTTCCTGAAGATGGGAATTAGTGGAAGCCTACTTTGATGTTCTTACAACCCCAAGTAGACATCGTCATCATTTTCCCCCCCTCTGGCTTATGACACTAATCTCGCCTAGGGGCCTGATTCAGTCTTTTCTCTCAAATCTGTTGTTCAACATGCCATCTTTGTGATCAGGATATCAGAGTGGAAGGAATGACAATGCAGGATAGAAAGTGAGAGGCCGAATTAGGGATAGGTCAGGAGAGGTCAGCAGAGGCAACCCACAACGAGACACAGCAGGAAAGCCCGTGTGGGTTTATAAAAAGCATGTTTATAGGCCTCTGCAAAGTGTGCTTTTCCTAGAGTAAAAGGAAATCCTCAGTCCCCACCCCATCCCCCAATCAAAAAAAGGAAATACTTGTGATGGAACACATCACAAGGAGAATTTCCAGACTTGAAGGGTATATTTTCAGGTAGAGGATTCTCTTTCCAGGTGCTTGGTTGAGCTAACCAATATTGCTTACACCTGTAAAAACGGCATCTTGGGAGTGCCCCGACTTTATTCCAGAACTCTTCCGATTCCATCCATTTTAAGTGGCTCTTTGCATGTGGAGATTCAGTTGACTCCATGAATACATTATATGATTATTTTAAAGTTTACACTTGGGAATATTTCCTTTTAAAATTATGAAAGTGATGTGTATATTAAAAAATTCAAATGGTACAGACGAATATACAATGAAAACAAAAGTTTCCCGCCATGACCCCTTCCCTTTAATCCACAGTCCTTTAAAATGAACTGCTTAATGTTTTCCTGGGTACGCTTCTAGACAATTCTCATACAAATAAAATGTCATTTTTTAAAAATAAGATATCATTTTTTTCGTTTCATTTATTCATCCCATTCTTCCTATTCCCCTCTTTTTTTTCTTTTTGTGCTCAAGTATTTAAAAGCAAATCCCAGACCTCATATTCATTTGCTTGTAAATATTTACATATATATAAGGACTTTAAAAACAAATAGCCTCGATAACTATTACAACATTTAAGAGGATCAACGATTGCTACATGATATCATGGAACACCCGGGCTATAATCAGTATTTTCTTAATTATCTCAAAAGTGTCTTTTTATAATGCTTTGTTCAAATCAGGAGCAAAATAAACTTCACACCTTGCGTTTGCTTTATATGTCTCTTAAGTGTCTTTTCATCTATAACCTCTTCCCTCCTTAAAATGCCAGTTACTTGTTGAAGAAACTGGGTCATCTGTCCTACAGAATGTCCCACATTCTGAATTTGTCTGATTCCATCCCTCTTGGTGTGTTTAACATTTCTGAAAAACAACATGTATTTCCAGTAAATTTACTAGTTATGTAGAAGCTTGATTAAATATTTTGTAAGACTATTTCATAGATGGATTATCAGAGGGCACACAATGTCTGTCCCATTTTTAGTGATGTTGAGATTAATGGTTTTAGGTGTTGTCAGCTTGATTCATCCTTTAGAAAGTCCCCTACCAACCTTTCACCTAATGGTCTGAGAAGCAATTGATTCCCATTTTTTAGAAAATAAAAATAGAATCTCCCTAGATACATAGTTTCAATTCTTGCTTTATCCACTAAGTGTAACATCTTGGACATGTTTCTATATTAGCATCTATAGATCTAGTTCATTTTAAAAAATGGTTTCTCATGTTTTATTTCATGGGCGTATTACAACTTATTTAATCAGTTTGGAAGCGTTCCTGATTCCTCATGATTAAGAACAGACAGTCTGAGTCCTTAACTCTACTCGTTTTCCTATATCCCTAAATCGCAGAGACTAGTGTGGCCCTGAGCAGTATAAGTTGATAGACTAGCTGTGTAGCAACACAGTGTCACAATAGACACCCTCCCCTTGGGGGCTGGTGGAAGAGAGAGTGATCTCAGCTTTCCTTGGAGGAAGTAGTTGGTTTGTTGGATTTCCTGAAAAATGGAAGCATTGGCAGCTGCCCGGTTGTAGCTCTTCCCAAAGTGAGTAGTGGGGCCCAGTCTCTGTGCAGAGGGGGGCAGTGCATCTTAGTGGCCACCCGAGGGACAGAAACAAGAGGGTGACAACCCCTGACCTTAAGACCCCCTGATGGCCAAATTGGGAGCAGCATCTACTGAAGCCGAAACTAAACAAGTCAGCAGTAGGAGCCTGAAATTTGTCTCCCCTGGAGCCGGGCTTGTGAGGTTTACGACGGCTGTTTGGTTTTCACTGTAGTGTTGTTCTCCGTCCCACTTGACTTGTCTTTATTTCTTACCCTTTTCCAAGTTCAGGGATTCAGATGTGAGCTTGAGTCTGGCAGTTTCCTTCAGAAAACAAAGGCTCTGAAGCCAGTCTTCTCTGGGCTGAGCTGGGACGGATGCCCTCCGAAGTGTGGGATGGCCTCTGGAAGCAGGGCTTTCCCCAGGCAGGTTGATCGGATTCTAAAAACTGGAACCCAGATGGAAGTATTGAGATGAACGTGGGTTTCTACCTGAAGAAAAGCAGTAATATAGCTTCCTCATGGATATAAAGTCTTGGAATGGCAAAAAACAAAACAAAACGAAGCAAAAACAAACAACCCCCCCCAAAACCCCACAGAACCCCAAAACCCAAAAAACCAAAACCAAAAATACCCCAAAACCGAACAAAAGACCCCCTCAAGCCCCCCAGTTCCTTGTTAGTGTTCTTTATAGAGCAATGCATGTGAATTAGCGCTGGACGCAATGTGCCTGTTTGTTTTCCTTAATTTTCCTGTCTTTCTCCTTCTTCCAAGCTTCAGAAGAGGAAAGCGGAAAACCTTTCCAGTGCCCCATATGTGGTTTGGTTATAAAAAGGAAGAGTTACTGGAAGCGGCACATGGTGATTCACACGGGTTTAAAAAGCCATCAGTGTCCGCTCTGTCCATTCCGGTGTGCTCGCAAGGACAATCTCAAATCCCACATGAAGGTAAGCCACCTGCGGATGGGCCTCACGGAGAGGCAGGCACAGCCCGGGCCCTTGCACAAATCCATGCCCAGAGCTCCGTGTTGAAAGGTAGATTGCAATGCAAATGAAGCACATTGAAAAGGATCTTGTAAAGGATTTCATTATAAGCGTCTTCAAGTCCATCCGACAACCCAGAACTTAAAGCAGAGAGCAGCTTCAGTATCCAAACGTAGTGTAGAACCATCCTTTCCTATTGGGAAGCAACAGCCTAACTGGCCTTGCACGGTGATGCATTTTGGGGCACTAGGAGGAAAAGCTGGGGAAGAGCAAGAAGCAGGGAAAGACGGGTTCAGGAAGGATTGCTGGACCTGCCCCCCTTCCTGGAAGGAATGCCCTCTTCTGCTGTTGCTTTGCCATCCAGCTTACACACCCAGAGACATCTTACAGGGAGCGTGAGGACATTGAAAGACACCTGGGCTTTAACTTTCGCCCTGTGGGAGGCTTGAGGGCCACTCCTGACAAGACTGAGTCCCCTTGAGGCTGACAGCGTTTGAGCCGTCATAATTCCCGGGATCACACTTAGCAAACATCTAAAGACATTGTTTTCAGTGTCCTATTAGCAGCAACTGGGGGACTTGTGCCTGTAATGAGCATATAGGGAATTGACTAGACTATGTGTCACTCTTATGTGAGCTGGGGGGAAACTTAGCCATCTAGCAGTCTTTTTAGCAGACCCTATTAATGCTAAGGAATGCAAAGAGGAAACCCAAGAGATCAAAAAAGCATGGCTTCTGAATTTGACAGGCTTGCCTTTAAATCTTATTGTATAACTTACTAGCTAAGTGGTGAGCAAATGAGTCTTTAGACTTAATTTTCTCATCTGTTAAATGGGAATGATTATGTTCATCTGGAAGGGATATCATTAATATTTAAGGAGGTATTAGCAAAGTATCTGACACAGAAGTGTTCAGTGGTGGTGATTTCATTTCAATAGCTATTGTTGAACACCTTAATAATAATAACCATCATTTTCACTGATGTTTGCAATATCGTCTCACTGTTGACATTACTTATAAAGTGTTTACTTTCCTGCCGTAAGAAGTAGAGCATGTGTACATAATAGAGGTATTTGCTTTTTTCAAAATGTTGCAGTCTTATCCTTCTGAATAGATCAGTAACCACTGTTTAGAATTGTGGATCTAAAAATGTATGATCAGACAGAACCTCTACTGACTTTAGGAAATTGCTTGGAAAATTAAAAAAATAAATTAAAGCCATGATATAATTTGTTTTCTACCATTTGCCTTTGTCTCCAGGGAGTAGCAGGCCCTTCATTTTCAGAATCCATTTAACCAGGGGTTCTGGTTGGTTGAATTTTACTGAGCTGACTCAGTGTTTTACTTGCATCCCTCTCATCCTCTGTCAACTCTTCCCAGCGTAAAATCTTGTATTTTACACCTGCAAAGTGGATTTCATTAGCAGGATGAGCCTTCCAAAGAAATGCCTTTAAAACTAAAATTTGTTTTTGTTACCGTGTCCTACTCTGTGTTTAGAAATCAGTTCTGGCAAATTTAAAGCTTCAGTGAGCAGAAAACTTGCATCTGGCCTGACACCTTGTAAGCCTGTTTTCAGCTCAGGGTCACTTAAAACAACCTATTTATAAACCCATGGGAAAAAAAAAAAAAAGCTGGGTTTTCAATAGCAAGAACTACTGACCCTGAAACTACAGGGAGATGAGTTGGGTGCCTTGATGATACAGACCGTCAGCCATGACAGCGCTGCAGACGAGAGCAGCCAGGGCTCTGTGGGTCGTGGGGTCTTAGAATGCTTTCAGAACAAATCAATAACCAGTACAATAAAGCAGTGGTGTGAAATGACTACTTTATTCAAACTCATAGTGTCCTAACCTGTTGAGCTTTTGAGGAGGGGAGTGTGAGAGGGGCTTATGCAAGTTTAATTTCATCAGATGGTGCCCGCTTTCTTTTCTGTTCTCCACCTCACTTATGGGCCCGTGTTTTTTGCTTTGATCAAAGAATTCATGATTTAATTTTGATGAGGCATACTTTCATTTTGGTAGATTTTGAAAACATAGTCTACAGAGAAACATAATAGCTGTGGCCTTAGGAATACGTATTCTTTGCTCTGTGCACTGGAGGCTACAAGATGGATAGATTTTCTAAAACAAGTCCTACCTCAGAAGTAGGGGCAGTATAGCCTATAGATTAAGATCTCAAACTGCGTGGTAAAAAAAAAAACACCTCAGTTAGAATCTCGGTTCCATGACTTTCAGTAGCTGCGGAGTTTTGGGTGAATCATTTAACCTCTCCAAGGCTCCGTTTCCGCTCGTGGAGATAATAATCATACAATCTAGCTCACGGACTTGTTATAAGGGTTAAATGAGATAACGGATATAAAGCACTTAATATGATGCCCAGCATGGAGAAACACTCAATAAATACAGCTACTGTAGTAATTATTATCCGAAAGCCATCTGAATATATATTTACATTTAGAAATAAGTCGATGACATGGCATGAAAGAATTACTCTAAATTTTATTGCTTTTCTCTCTTCATGACATAGCTTTCGTGTTGAGAATTTAGAAAATACTGATAAAAAGAATCTGAAACTGGCCCTTAATCCCATCACGCAGAAATAACCATTATCATCCTAATCTTCTATATTGATTACATAAAGCTACTTAAGGAAGAACGGGATGCTACTTTATTTGTTCAACAACTACAGTACTTACTGGGTTCAGGCACTGTACAATTTTCTGAAAGCCTGCCTTTCCTCCTCCATATATCACGCAAATGTTTTTATGGCTTGCTGCGGAAGGAGCTTGTAAATGCCTCCAGCTTCCTCGGGGTTATCTTAGATTTCCATTAAGTCTTTTACAACTTTCCTGGATGAGCGAGCGTACAGGAATTAAATGCGGAATTCATAAGCTAAAATTGAACAGAGAAGGTGAGGAGGGCTGAGATCGGGAACATGGGTGAAGAAACGGCAAGAAATAGGCAAGGATCAGGGCGCCGACTTCTTCTAGTCTCAGGCCTGCCAGCTAAGGAGCTGACTCCTAGGTAAGCCCCCTCGCAGCCTGCCTTGTCCCCTCAGTGAGGTGGAGATATTTCCCGAAGTGTCCTCGTGTTTGTCCAGCTGCTACCAGGAGGTAGACCCAGTGATGCAACAGCCCTTATACTTCCCACCTCTTGGGGTGGTGACATGCTCTCTCTGTGAAGGATGACCTGCAGAAAGCAGGTCTCTATGGGACCTGGAAAGAATGACACGCTTTAGTCAAGTGTTTCTTGACAGTAGCCGACCAAGAGGGGTTTTTAAGCCGATGTTGGGCTAAAGAGAGTACAGATGATCCCTTTCTGTCGGGAGAGCAGGGGAGAGCCTTCCCTCCAAGGCCAAATGCGAGCTCTCGCCCCTCCGGGAAGGTCTAGCTCTAATAAAATTCTAAGTGTGACCGTCAACACTTCATCCACTGTTTTTCTCTTCAACGGTCACTCATTTTTCTGCCACTAAATACAGCCAGGCCAGTATCAGGTGGAAGAGGAACCGCATACAGGACTTGGGCACAGACGCTTTTGAATCCAGGGCTCCGTGTTTGATTTTAGAACATGGGCTCTGTCCTTTTCCTTTTTCCAGAAGCTGCTTCCGGAGCTTCTGTTCTTGGATTAGCTCCTGTCCTCTCCCGGGGCAATAGATGTCAGGACACTCCTGAAATGGAATCTGCCCCACCGCACTGCTCCCAGGGACGCCGGAAGCTTTCAGCCTCATGACCTTTGCCACCTGGTTCCGGGGCGAGCTGTGGCTGGCACCTGTCAGGGTCCCCTGGGGCTGTGACCTGAGGCCCCCCTCAGGTGCTTGCTCCTGTGTGAACTGGTTGGAGGAGAGGGTGGGGAATCTTCCCGATTCTGTGAGTGAGAAAGTAAATGAATTGCTCCGCTCCAGAGCGAAGTCCCTTTGTTGCGAAAGAACAGAGACGGTTAACAGCTGGTGACAAAGAGTGTGTGTCCCCCCCATTCCAGCCCCTCCCGAGGTTGCAGAGGGGAAGCCTTTTAATGAGCAAGGCTTTGCTGTAACTGAATTTAAGTGTATACGGTTATCTCTGTGGAGAAATTCAGGCTTTGGGGGACCCAGAATCTCTTCTGTTGTTTTTTTCAAAAAGCCACAGTGGGGTGCTGTAGCGACAGGATCTCACCATTAACTTTTAATTTCTTTGCTTTTGTTGGTCACTCAACATTATTTAAAAGTATGTTTTGGCTGGTGAATAATGCTTTTGGATTGCACTCAGAACGCATAAACGGCTGTAGTAAAACTTGCACTCTTGGAAAGGAAGCCCGCGCAGAGGGGCCAGGTGGCCCAGTGGATTAAGGAATCTTTAACCTTTAACCTTCCTTAGACCTGGATTCAAATCCTGCCTAGATCACCTCTCAAAGATGAGAGGTCGGTTTGACTTGGGTTTTGAATTCCAACCACTCGTTTGTCCAAAATCACACAACTCCCCAAATCTCTTGGCCCAAATCTCCACCATTGGCAGTTTCTACTCAAGGGAGGGCCAGTCCTGAAATAGCAGGGTGGAGCAGGTCAGCCCTGAAGTACATTGGCAGAGATGAATGGGGAAGTTACAAGCTTATGAGCACCTGCCAGCTCCAAGCCTCGCTCGGGCCAATGCAATGATTTCCTCACTTTTTCAAGCACTAAATTTGATTGTGACAGGAAGTAAGAAAAAGGTTTCTAGCCATTTTTACAGGTACTGTGCAGGCAAGGCTGGAACTGTGTTTAAAAGTCTGCATTCTTTCATTGCAGACAGAACCACGTTTGGAAACACTGGTTCCATCTTGCTGAGACAGCTTGGTGGGCATCAGCCCCTGGTTTTTGTCCCCCTCTGCTTCCTTTATATGTCATTTTGCTCTAGCCATGTGCTTTGGGGTCTCAGTTTCTCTGTCTATGAAATGGGAATACCCTGGAGGCATTATTTTCCACATTCTTAATTACCTAGAGAAGCATTTTTGAAAATGGAAATTATGTTTGCAAAACGTAACTAACTCTCTGGGTGGTAATAATTGGGTCCCTGCAGTGTATTTATATTACTTGACAGGTTACCTCTATTGACCCCCAACTAGTAAGTATGTAAGTTCAAATTGTGCTGGGTTTATAATGTTTTCTCTGAAGACATCAACCGAGATGGGATGACTAGAATATTAGGAGGATTCTACCCCAGACGGCCTCCACTGGCAGACAGCATCCTCAGTCGTGAGTATGGCTTTACTAATGGATTCTTAACCTGCGTGGACCTGCTTTATGTTTAGGGATGGCCCTCACGACCTGAAGCACATAATGAAGTGCTCCTCTAGCGATGAGATTCCCTGGGCCGGCCCTCTGTACCGCGAGGAAATTGTTGCTGAGTGGCGCGGATGTTCAGCAGGGCGTTTTCCATCAGCACACAGTGGCTAGCTCACTCTTCTTGCTTCTCCGCCAGGTTCATCAGCACCAGGACCGGGGAGAGACCTTTCAGTGCCAGCTCTGCCCTTTCACTTCCTCCCGTCACTTCAGCCTGAAACTCCACATGCGTTGCCATCAGCACTTCCTGAGGACAGAAGCCAAGGTGAAGGAGGAGATCCCAGACCCCGATGTCAAGGGATCTCCCCACCTCAGTGACAGTGCCTGCCTGGGGCAGCAAAGGGAAGGAGGAGGGACAGAGCTAGTGGGGACCATGATGACGTCCAGCACTCCAGAGAGGACTAGCCAGGGTGGGGCTGGCGTCTCGCCTTTGCTGGTGAAGGAGGAGCCCAAGGAAGATAATGGCCTGCCAACCTCCTTTACTCTGAATGCTACCGACAGGCCGGCCAACCACACGAAGCTGAGAGAGCCCTCCGAGTATGCAGCCAACAATGCGTCCGCATTGTTCAGCCAGGACATCTCTGTTAAGATGGCGTCTGATTTTCTCATGAAGCTGTCAGGTACTTGAAGAGGGTTGTCCTCTCTCTCTCTCTCTTCTCTATCCCTCTACCAGTATTCTCATCTATAAAATGAGCTGGTAGGACTAAGTGATTTCAAGATCGCTTGAGATTCCAGTTGTCTGCACGCTCATACGTTTTTTCCTTGAGACTTGTTTTTTGCAGTCCTTTGGAAGTAGGCATGGCTGTGGTTTGGGCCCAAAAACAACAGGGATTGTTGATTTCTTTCTGGTTTTCCACCTGTATGAGTTCTTGTTGTGGGGGACAGGCCACAGCGTGAGCCAGGTTGGTGACAGTTCTTTGTGTGACCTTGAGTCATTTTAACTTGTCTCTCCGTTGGGTTCTCTAAAGTGCTTGTATGGGTCATCTTGCTTTTCAAGTTCTTTATTGCCTTGATTTAAAAGATTTTTAAAGGACATGTACACAGAGGCTACTATTAGGAATTATAGAGTTTTAAAATTTGAGCAACTGATAAAATTATCTTTAAATTTTGTTTTTTCTAATGGAAAGTTCTTTTATTGTGGTAAAATATACCTAACATGAAATGTATCATTTTAACCATTTTTAAGTATACAGTTCTTTGGCATTAAGTACATTCACATTGTTGTATAATCATCACCACCATCCATCTCTGGAACTTCTTCATCCTCCCAAACTGAAACCTTGTACCCATTAACCAAGAATTCCCCATTCCACCCTCCCCTCTGCCCCTGGTAACCATTATTCTATTTTCTGTCTCTATGAACATAAGTACTCCAGGTACCTCATGTAAAGTGTAATTTAAAAAAAAAATTTTTTTTTAGACATTCTTTTGCAACTGCCCCAGTGCCTTTTAGAAAAAAGATGGAGTATGTTTTCAAAACTTATTACTAATTGATATCACTTTCACCATCAAATTATGCATGATGTTTCTTTTAGTTTTTTTCTTTTTTTCCCCTCAATTCCTTAAGTTGTGGAGTTGAATGAGGGGGTGTAGAGATGCTGAGGGAGCGCTGTTTTTCCTGACGTTTTGGAATGAGAAAACATGTTGTGGGTCTGTGCTGCTACCCATTATATTTTTTAATGTCTGATTTTAAATTTTAAAAGAGATGTGGAGGGTGGGGAAAGGTCGGCTGAGAATTGGTTCTATCTTTCAGTGAAGATGGCAGTCCCCAGGATGATTTCCAAATGCCATTTCAGCTCTTTGGAGATTGACAATACCCTTTTAAATGGAGAATAATTGGTCACCACCTTCCTTTAAATGGACTGTGAGTTGCATTTCACTAAATGTCATCGCCAGGTGAATTCGAGGTTCTGCTTCACTCTGAAGTCCCTTTGCTCAGTGACACTTCAGTCAGGTCTTCTGGAATGTCCCCATCACCCCAGGTCTTTGCCCCTCAGGAGTGCACAACGCTGGTTGGGAGAAATGAGGAAAGGCAGGGGATGGAAATGAGGCACCGCAGAAAGAACTGAGATGGAAATGTTACAGGGAGGCATCCCACCCCGCAAGATGAGTGAGCTCGTCCTACACCGGAAATGATCGGGTGTCAGGAATTCAACCGTGGCAGTGAAGAACGGTCTTCCCTTGTCTTCTCTTGTATCCCAACCTAGGGGGACGTGTGATCTTTGAGACTCTGCTTTTTGTATTTAAACATTTTTGAAAATGTGGGGGAAATTCAGGCTTCTGGTTTTCCTTTCGCCGCTGATCCTTTAGTTTTCACTTCTGGGAGATCTCTGGTTCTTCTTTGATGGTCTCTCCCACCAATGTCAGAGCAAAAGGGGCTCCTTTTCTGGGCTCTTCTAGCACTTTCCCAAGGAATGCAATAGCATATTCACTTAGCATAGCTTAGAAACAAACGGGGACATTTCCTTACTTAGCAGACAGGGGTAACTCAGTATGGGGTTAGTAACTCTTAGGAAGAGGGTACTCCCTTTACTCCAGGACTCCAGAAAGTTTTTAATCCTGAGGAAGGTGAGGGGGGTGGAGGAAGGTTTGATGGTACACAATTCCTGCTGAGCTCAGCTGTGAGTGCCCAGCATCAGGCTGTAATTAGCCCCAGACCCAGTCTCAGGGAGCACAAGATAAGGCCTATGGCTTCTGGGAGCCAGGCTTGCAAACGGGAAAAACACAAGAGGAGAAGCCAGTCGGTAGGTTGGGGTGAAAAACTGTGCACCCAGGCCTTATACTGTGATCTGTTTTCTCAGTCGGCTATTGACGGGGACTTGTTTACGGGTTTGGCAGTCGCAGTATTTACTGACTGATCAGTTGGCATAAGAAAACAGATAACAAATGCACGCTGTTTATGCAAAAGGCCCGCGCAGCTATTTTATGGTGGCTTACTAGAGGTCCTGAAACTTGACTTGTGTGCACTGTTACCTAGCAACCTGTTACAAAGTCACCGGGGAGTGAGATGCATTGGTAATTTTTTTGTGTGTGTGCATATTTGGATGTAAATGTAAACTTGGTGACAGTGGCAACGCAGCTCACGGGAAAAGGAAAGGAATACATTTTCCGGAGGTGGGGAGGCATTATTTATTTATTTTTCTTCCACTCACTCTCTAGTTGGTCAGCCTCTAGAATTGATAGCTCCCGTCATTGTGGTTTTCTACCTGGCTGTGTCTGTGACTGTGATCCCGGGACCAAAAGGCCAGATCCCGGGGAGCTGTGCCTGAGTTTCTAGCTCTTTCCCTTATCAGATGTCGGGTTAGCATCAGGCCTTGTCCCTAGGCATCATAACGGCGCCATTGTTCTTGCCATGAATTTTTGAGCTGGGCTCTGTGTGTGCACCTGCTGGGACTCTAGGGTGCAGCTGTTTGTGGACACGGGGGCTGGGAGTCTCTGTGCCAGCCACATCACAGTCTGCAGAACCGGAGCACAGTGGCAAATTCAAGCGTGTCCATACCTTCTTGTTTCCAAAAGAGAGATGGAAAACACTTGATTCTTTCTTGCTTGGTGATTAAGGGGAGTCTTTCTTGCTCCCACTGGATTAAAAATCACTGGTGGAATCCTCTTTTTTTTTTTAAACCTTATAAATGTGTAAAGGATACTTACTATTTTTTTAAAATTTATTTTATTTATTTATGGCTGCGTTGGGTCTTTGTTGCTGTGTGCAGACTTTCTCTAGTTGCGGCGAGAGGGGGCTACTCTTCGTTGCGGTGCGCGGGCTTCTCATTGCGGTGGCTTCTCTTGCTGAGGAGCAGAGGCTCTAGGTGCACAGGCTTCAGTCGTTGTGGCGCGCGGGCTCTAGAGCGCAGGCTCAGTAGTTGTGGCGCACGGGCTTAGTTGCTCCACAGCATGCAGGATCTTCCCAGCAGAGGGCTCGAACCCTTGTCCCCTGCATTGGCAGGCAGATTCTTAACCACTGCGCCACCAGGGAAGCCCTGGAATCCTCTTTTAAAAGGACTCTAAATCCTTCCCTCCCTACCCCCGTTTTGAGGTTTCCTAGTGTCTGTGATTGTGAAATCATACCCCTTCCCTGAACCGTCTACTCTTCTTCTGCCTGAGCCCACACTTAACATTCCTTCGTCCTTCAAGATTAGCCTTGTTCCCTAGGACCAAGGCTTTCCAGGCTCAGCACCATAATTGATTCAGGGAAGAGGATGGGACAGTCCCTGCTGCTGGCTTTCTGGGCTGTTGGAAAAGATAATTTTGCAAACTCTGCTCCAAGTTTCAGCCTAGGAGGCAGGCCTTTGAGGGCTGCAGCCCTGCATATTTGCATCGATCTTTCTTGAGAGCCAAAAGGCAGATGCAGACTGTCGCATGTCAGGGCAAGGGATTCAGTAGCCGCGTGACTGGGGCTATGCAGGGGAGAGGAGATTAAATTCCTACTGTTTCTGTGCCTTCTCTCCTTTATCCAGTAGCAGTTCTCACCTTGACTGACATTAGACTTACCTGGGGAGTTTTTTTTTTTTTTAAATGCCAGGGTCCAACCCCACTGCCAGAAATTATGATTCAGTTGGTCTAGGATAGGACCTAGACCTAGACATTGGTGTTTTCTTTTTCTTTTCTTTTTTTGGCCACACAGCGTGGCATGCGGGATCTTAGTTCCCCAACTGGGGATTGAACCTGCGCCCCCTGCAGTGAAAGTCTTAACCACTGGACCACCAGGGAAGTCCCTAGACATTGGTGTTTTCTTTAAAATCCTCAAACGATTCTAAAATGCAGCCAGGACTAAGGACCACTGATGTGGAAGATAAATTTGGTACCTGTTTTTGTGTTTGTTGTTTTTTCAGTACACCTATAGTTTTTCAGTGCAACTCTTTTCCCTCACTTTCTATCCAAGACCATGAAAAGGGCCTGGTGGTTTGGGATGGGTCTGAGGCATTCACTATAGGTCAAGGTTAACATGAACTGGAGGCCTGGGTGAGTCATGGTCATTGAGCCCCATGTTTTCCCTCGTGGAGCCACATGACAGGAGAATTAAAAGAAGCATCTTGATGTTCTCCAGTTAGAACTAGAAAGTCTCGAGACTCATCTAGAACATCTAGGAGCTGGGAGTACCATCATTAGATGCCTGATTAAAAGTTGCCTGCTGTGGGCTTACATCACTTCTCTTTCTGAAAACTACACTTTTCAAGATATCACATTTAAATCTAACTCTCCAAATTAGAACCAAGCAGTTGACAGAAACTTGGCACCTCAGTTGTTGGCTGGGAATATCTTTTTATCTTTTTGTACTTGGTTTTTTGAAAATAAAAGATACAAGTCATTTCAACTATTTTTAGTTTGGAAACTGGCCAAAAAAATTTATCCTTTCTCCCATATTCTATTAATTTCATAAAATTGGGGCCGAAACATCTTAACCATGAGAGGTGGACTTCGGAAAACAGTGACTTGCAAATGGGTCCAAGCTGAATTGTTTCGAATGTGTTAGGAGCTCAGTGGTAAAATGGCAAAGGTTCTCTTGAATACACGAAGGGGAGCTGGTGAATGTTTGTGTTGTATCTTGCGGTTTCCCGTGGGCCTTTGTTCTGCCACCTCCATCTCTTTCCCATAATGTTATGCATCTGTAGTTACAATACGG